TTGGTAAGATATTGTAGGTTCAGCTCCAGGCCACCAAATATAAAATGAGTATATCAATAAAGTGAGTCCCATGAGTTTTTTGGTGTCCTGCTCAGAAACCCTATACAGTGTCGCTCTGAGTCAGAACCGACTCGACAGCACTTAACAACATTCTCACTGTTGAGCTACTATATGATACTATACTATACTGCAGTGAAGTCCTGGGGTGATACTGTAGGATAAACACTGGACCGAAAGGTTGATTTGAACCACAAGGCGGTGCAAACTCACCAGCTACTCCTTGGAAACCCTCTACCGAGTTGCTATGAGTCAGAACTGAAATGACAGCACTTAACAACGACAACATATTGTAGTCTGTTAAGTATCCAGTGGTGGTGCTGGTGGTGTTGTTATGTGCCGTGGAGTTGGTTCCGACTCATAGCGACTCTGTACAGGGTTTCCGAGGCTGTAAATCTTTACAGGAGCAGAAAGCCTCATTTTTCTTCTGTGGAACAGCTGGTAGTTTCGAACTGCTGACCTTGAGGTTAGTAGCCCAATTCGTAACCACTACACTACCAGAGCTCCTTAAGTAACCAGTAGCAGTATGAAAAAGTTTGAAATATTGTAAGAATTATCAAAATGTGACACAGAGACTCAACGTGAGCATATGGTATTGGGGAGAATGGAACGGTGCCGATAGACTTGCCTTGGAAACTCGGGAGGTTCAACCCTGCCCTAGAGGTTCACTTCAAATCAGTTTGACTCAGTAACACTGGATTCGATGGCTTTCTTTTGTTTCATGTTCTATTAATGCAATGTGACTACCCATGCCATTATGAGTAGCATGGGTACCGTTTACAGCGTTCAGTAATCTTAAATACTAGAGATTTTGATAACTTGTTTTCCAGATAAGAAGTCTTGGCTCAGAGAAGTTATCCAGTGGCCAGTGTGAGCAGGCCAAGAGCCCAAGTCTCTAGAATTCCTAAACAGTCCTCTTTCTATTACTACACTTTTATACTGCTTTCCTTTCTCAGACATAATTTCCCATATGTGGCATGAAAGAGCAATTTCAGTTCCATAAATATTCATGATTCCGTTTGTATTCTTCAACTGTTTGTGTTTGTTCTAAACTCTTAATTTGAAGCTGGGTAAAGATTTCCATCGAATGTTAGAAAAAAGACATTCTCAGCCCTTGTTTTCATACTGTTTTTCTTGTCAGTCACAGATAAATTTAGTCAAATTAGAAATAGTAACAGATGATATAAAAAAATACCAAGTACAAAAAAGCTCTTCTCTCCTAATCCTAACTTCCCACATGAAAACAAGTCAATCTGCAAAACATGATAATGATTACCTTTCCAGGTCAACTAGCTTACGAGTTCTTAGGGAATGTGTTTATTTTAAATCCACTGAGACTTCTACTCAAGCCTTTGGCTAGGTTCTGGATTCTTCTTCAGAGCTATTTTTGAGCTCCACAGATTCCTTTGCAATTTGGAAGCCCAGAGACAGATTATAGGTCTATTTCAGTAGAATACTAAAAAGCACCCCAAAATAACCATTTATCTTGAGTGTATGATTACAATAGTGTATTTTTGTGTCATAACAGATGGTTATAAGAAAGGACCAAAATCTATTAAAGACTAGTAGCATCCTCCATGAAAATGAAAAAAGACTTGTTTTAAAATCCTTGTACCCAATCCTTTACGACTATTCATCCATATCTTTTATCATTCAGCAAGTGACAGTAAGAGCATGTCTTATGCTTACTATACTTTTGATTAATCATCAAAGATGATGGCAATAAATGAATGTTTATCACAATTAAGGCTGAAAGATTTAAAGAGGCAGAATTATATAGATATATTTTTAAGTTATAAATTAGCTCAAGAATAAATGGAAGGTCATCAGCTAATAGCAGCAGCAATGACAAGTAGCCCACAACTCCATGAAAATTGTAGCAGCCACAAATCAATGGCAAAATAAAATCCAAAAGTGAGTCTATACTGATTTATGGGAACATTCGTTCAACTTCAGGCAATACAGTTGTGCCTGTGTGCAAGACATGCTATTCCCATGATCCTCTGCACACCATAGTTCCTACCCTAACTCATGAATAAAGCATTTAAGAAATTTAATCAGAACCAAAAGGATTTCCCACAGTGCTCACTGTCACTTACAGATCCTTCACCAAAACAATTTAGCCACAGTTGTAGTTAGGAGATTATAATAGCCGTCATAAAGCCAATCACTTTAAGTCAGTCAAGTCAGGGTCTATGTGAAAAATATAATCAAATGTAATTTCATGATTCAATAAATAATATATAAATCTACTGTTATTGGTTTTCATTTTCTTTTCAATACTACCCACTTCCATTTTCTCTTTGGTAGTTATTCTGACTATTCAAATGTCATTATTGCCCTCCACTGTTATTCAAATGGAGCTTTTTTATTAGATTTTCTGACATTATATATAAGACTTTACTTCTTTGATGGCAATAATTTCATTTCTGAAGGAAAATGAAAGCTACTGCATACAAAATCCTGAGTTCTTACTTTATGTTAGGCTAAGTCCGTGCCTGAAATGGGATTTTAATTTAATCATGTCTGAGAAGACCAAAAAGGTTTTTATTAGCTACCTCAAGAAAGTAGTTTGTAAAATGCCTTTTCCATGGAGGATTTTTTTTGTTCAAAGATCCAGTGAATATGTTATTCCTCTCCAGTGATGTATATAGGATACATTTACTGACAAAATTCAACTCTAAATTTTTTTTCATCCCCTGGTATTGATGAATACTGCTTTTTTTCCCCTTGGAAGATAGAGAAAACAAAATATCCTCTTAGAACAATTAAAAGAAAACGTCACAGTTTAGTATAATAATTTTAAATACATACTTTACAGGATATCCGTAGAAAATATATTTTAAAAGCCACACAGCCATAAATATATTATTGTGGCTGTTTAAAAATGGAATACCCTGATGCAGAAAATCAAACTATATCAAAACCAGGTCATAGCCCTCCAAGTCAAATCTAGTTAATATTGCTTCACGTTAGATGAAATTAACTAACTTATAAAATCGAACATATTTTATCATATCCTACCAGCAGTTGTTCTTTGCATATAAATAAGAAAGAAGACTGTCTGCAATTTGAAAAAAAAAAAATAATATAACAGCTTAAAAAATTTAAATATCTGAAACTTTAAGTTAAAAACTAGAATTTCCCAATAAAGATGAATTTTAAGGGTATTAGACTCTGTTACAGTAGCGCATGAAGAAGACCAACATGGCCTAGCCCAGACAACAGTGATGGCTTTGGATGAGAATTAGCAAGAGAGCTAGAGTTAATAAATATTTACGTGACATTTCTGTGTTTACTGTGTTTACTTTAGCGGCTTACTGACCCATGGGACGATAAAGCTACTTATATAACAATTCTGATACAATGTTACGGCATCATATAATTAAGCACTAGCACATTTATTTTGTATTAATGAGAGCTATAGGAATTTAGGAGTCCTGGTGTGATACTGTGGGTTAATGCGCCACACTGCAAAGCCATTTGAACTGCTAGGTTTGTGATTCAAACTGTCCAGTTAACTCCTCCAAAATCTTACACAGAGTCGCTATAGGCCAGAATCAACTCGACAGCACTTAACAACAACAACAACAACATAGGAATTTAGGTAGAATTCAAATTCGAAAGCTGCACCACTGAACACTATGACCACATGGACCCTGAAAATCTAGGTAATGACATCCCAATCATCATTGCCAGTCTCATTTCCCAAGAAGCCCAGGGAATGAATCAGTGGCTTGGGAGTGAGACTTCTGCTAGCTACACAGACCTCGGAGATCTTGTGGGATACACATATATGTGATAAAGCAAGTCACACAAGTTTTTGCTCTCCCAGTGAATATAAAAGTTATGTTTACACTATACTGCAATCTACTGAATGTGCAATAGCATTCTGCAAGTTTAAAATATTATGAGAATTACCAAAATTTGACACAGAGACATGAAGTGGGCACATGCGGTTGGAATAAATGGTGCCTTATGTCCTGCTTGATGCAGGGTTGTAGCAAAGGCTCAATTTGTAAAACAAAACAAAACAAAACAAAAAACTTTATCTGTGAAGGGCAATAAAATGGAAAAATTGAAGAGGTCCAAGAGCTGAACAGAAAATTTTAAAGATCAGCTCGAGAAGATAAAGCCAAATACTATAAATAAATAAACAAACAAACAAATAAAATGAAGCACAATAAAATAAGCTATGCTGTGTCACCTTTTTCTAATTTACCAGCCCAAACATACTCACACAGCTCTCCTCCTAGAATCAGAATTTACCATATTACTCATTTATAGAATAAAAACGAATCACTGGAGAGTTATACAACACCACTCTTAAAATATCCCTCTTTAGTATTAAGACAAGAGTTCGTGGGTGGTACAAACCATTAGCACATGAAGTGAGGCTGCTAACCATAAGGTCAGAAGTTTGAGTCTGCCCTGAGATGCCTTGGAAGAAAACCCTGGTGATCTACTTCCCAAAAAATCAACCATGGGAAACCCTTAGGAGCCCAGTTACACTGTGCCACACACACATAGGGGTGCCACAAGTTAGGGACAGACCGCAGGAGGGCAGCCGTTAATTTTTTAAATTAAGATAATCAGAAAATTTAAGCAGATGTATTCTACATTTTAATTGGAGAAGGAATCAAATAATAACACTAAACAGGCAAGGGTCAGAGAATTTGGATTCCAGTTTCCACAGCATTCCAAGCTTGCCATGTGGCCTTGGGTAGATTCATTTCTGGACCTCAATACATTTCACAATATTTCCTGCTCTGCTGGAAAGGACAGCTTTTAGAAGAGGTGCCCTACTTTCATTTAGAGAGGGTGATATTCTCTAGGTAGCCTCTAGAAGCCTTTTTCTAATTTCCTGCCTCCACGATCAAGATAAAAGTTAAAAAGATACAACCTGAGGACACAAATGAGAGAAGAATGTGAACAAAACTGACCTCCAGAGGTTCCGGTGCTGCTCTTCAAGTTGAGTTAGCAGATGCTCCAGGTACTTATTGGAATCCATGTATTCCTGCATACACAAAGACAAACACAACCTCATTACATTGGTCATCAGGACCCTAAGACTCCATCCTTATCTCTAGATAAGATAAATTTTTAACAAGATAATCCCTTGAGTCCCTTCCAGTTTTAGAAGCCTTTGTTTCTGTGACGAATATGTTTAGTCATTTGGGATGAAGGATATTTCCCCAAGATCTTGTGAGCATTCTGTAAACAAAGCACGGGAATTATACAGATGCAGAATGAAAACCCTCTGTTCACACACAAAAAGTCGGATTCCTGTGTTAGTCATCTACACTGGGGTCTGTATTCTACTGGTTAAAAGTAAGGGGGCCAATGCAGCTGTTAGCCAAAGAAGTATTCGAATAAAGTAGAAAAGGCAGGTCTTCATTTCTCTGATCATTTAAGAGTTATTTCCTAGCCCAAACACTATTGTTACATAACATGGGATGTTTATGTGTATGTTTACGTGACCCACATTCAATGGGCATGAGCAAAAGATATGTCATCTCCCTTTGTCTCTATATATAAACTAAGCAATTCATTTGCTTAGTTCTTTTTTGTTTGCTTTTTTTTTTGACTCTTAGAAGATAAATCTTGGGCTTCTAAGAAGACACAAAGCAAGCTGTATACTGACGTTTTGTTAGAAATGTATTTGTACATTGATTTCCCCCCTTAATCAAACCATGATTTTAAGAAAAACTTCTGTAAAAACCAGGAATTCCTTTCTCACATGATTTTGAATTTTGAAAAATGGATTTTGAAAAATCCATAGGTTATTAAATCTGATTTTATAAATGGTGGTTTCTGAATATGAGGTTCATATGCAACAGACTTTCAATTTTAACTGTGAAATTAAATACAATGTGTGAAATTCTGATGATATGCTTTTTGTTTTTTGATTTTCTGGAGATGACACTTCTTTCCCTTTCTGGTGAACTAGGGTGCCTGGTAGCGTAGTGGTTACGAATTGGGCTGCGAGCCGCAAGGTCAGCAGTTTGAAACTACCAGCTGTTCTGTGGGAGAAAGATGTGGCTTTCTGCTCCTGTAACGATTTACAGCCTTGGAAACCCTGTGCTGGGTCAGTATGAGTTCGAACTGACTCCACGGCACAACAACAACAACAGGGTGCCCACAGAAGCAATGGTTTCAATTCTAAATTCGAAATAAATTGGGAACCTTGGTTAACACTGATGCTTCTCTCTGAAATGAAGGTTTCTTATGATTAACTACTATACACAATCTATTGCTCCTGTAGGAATATTCACACATAGTCAGGGGTTGGGGAGGGGTGGGAGGATACACAGAGTAGAAGGTGATCTGAGAGAACAGAAAGGGCCCTGCCCAGAGTTTCTGATCTTGGATCTACCCATGTAGTCTTTGAGAACCCAGCCTCTTTATCTTTTCAAAACTTTTCAGTTAGACTACAAAGTATCCTTTTCTGGTTAAAAAAACAAATAAACAATGATTCTATACCACTATAATTCTATTGCAGATAATTAATTAAAGAGTTTCATAACCTTATTAAATAACATTGAGAGGTTACTACTGAATACTTTGCTATTTAAACAAGACCATTGGCATGGTAAAACTAAAGCAGAAACTTTTGCTATTGCAGATAATTTAGAACACTAATGCATTTAGAACCAATCATTTAGAACATAGATGTTGGGGACTGGCCTCGACATAGGGGTTCGGTTCACGAGGTGGAGATACCTGGTGGCGATAGAGATAGCAAAAGAGACACAGATACCCAAAGAGAGAGAGACAAAGAGACACTCCAAAACCAGAGTGAATGCTGGACTGGCATCAGGCATATTCTGCATTGCAAACATTTCAGCCACGAAGGCCGTAATATCCTGCATAGTAAACATCTTAGCTAAACAGGCAGTATGGTTGCAAGGCTGGACTGTGCCCCCTGCATGCTGTAACACACGCCTTGCCAGTCATAATGCACCTGGATTCGTTCTGCAACTTCCTTTTATTTAGGGGAGGTACTTTACACAAAGTTAGGAGGTACTAAGACAAGGTACAGCTGTCAATCTTACTTTTCCAGACATTCAGGCAACTTTACATCATACTTTGCAGGTTCGAATCTCACTACCGCAACTTGGTTTCTCAAGCTTAATTAACATACCTTTTAGCACTTAGCTAAATGGAGGGAGGAAAGGGAGGATTGGGAGGATTCCCATTGTGTCGGCTGCCCAGCCCAGGTTCTTCAGGAAAAGAGGCGCCTGGGTGAATAGGCAGCACCTGGAAACACTTTAGGGAGGGCATTCCTATTGTCCTTGGAACAGACCAGGGAGCCACCCAATTTACCTTGAATGAATTCTCTGAGGGAAGAACTTTGCCTGTTTGGAATTTTACAGTCTTGACTTTTAGGAAAATATTACATTTATCTGTGTATATCACGGGTTCATGTCTGCATTTAATAAAACATAACTGGACACTAAGATGAAAAATAATTTGTTATTAACTGCCAGGTGGCTAGATCTGTTACACTTGGGCCTATAGGGCCTCGAACCTCTTACCAGGCCTTCACGGTCTGCAACACATAGAGACTATAATTTAGAACACTAGAAATGATCAAAGGCATTAATTCTCAAATGCAGTCGTTTAAAACTATTCAAAAGACACTGTTCCCAGAAGAATAAACAAATCTGTCTTGGAAGATGTGCATCCAGAATACTACTTAGAAGTGAGAATGGCATGTTGTCCAGCAGGACCAGTCCCTGGAGAAGGACATCATGCTTGATAAACAGCAGGATCAGTCAAAAGGAGGAAGACCCTCCACAAGATGGACTGACACAGTGGCAACAGCATTGGACTCAAACATAAAAACAATTGTGAAGATGGCACAGAACTGGACAGTGTTTCGTTCTGTTGTGTTTAAGGTCAAATAATATGTAAGTTCTGGAATGAAGCTTCGACAAAAAGAATAGCAGGTTGGCTATTTTGTTCATTCTACTTATCTAAATTCAGAAGTTTCTGAATGCTGTACTGATTAAAATATATCAGAGAGACTTGGGTTCAAATCCTAGCAGTGATACTTACTAGTTGTGATCCCCTGATCAAGTTATTTAATCTCTATAAACCTTAATTTATCCATCTTAATCAGGAGGATAAATAATAATTTACAGAGATGTAAGGATTAAATAAAGTATATATCCTAATCTCTGCCAATTAGCGAATGCAGCCTTTTAATAAAATCTTATAGATGGCTTCTTCTCAAAGTCAAATCACCTTACAAAGGGTTAAGATAATATCCATTTCCCTTCTGTTACCAAACCTCAAGACTTTATATGTATGGTTAATAAATTATACTTGCTTGAATATTAAAATAGGCAGTTAGGTACGATTAATAAAAATAAAGACTTTTCAGCCCTTAAATATAGGTGTCCCTGGATTGTACTCTGAAAGCTATTTCAAGTAATAACACTTTCATTTGAAATAGCTTTATCCAATTTTCCATAAATCTAACCTGATGACAAATATAAAACCATTTAGCAGAAGAAACTAAGATATGGATTTTGCAGATATTTTCTCAACTTTATTTTTCTCCATAGCACCCTTAGTTCTAACAACTAATATATATTCCTTATGTATTTTGGTTTCATCTATATACCACCCACTCCTAACCACACATCCACATCTACACTATGAGGCTAATGGAAATGAATTAAGAAAAACAATATGAAACTTACATATACCTCTTGTGCAATGAAACAATTTCCCCTACTGCAAAAAATTTAGGAATTACTCTCAAATACCCCTCATCTCTGGACCCTGGAAAGAAAAATTAAATAGTGAGAAATGTCTAGATTACTCTTCAGGTGTGAAATAGGAGTTTTCTATTGGAGCCATTTTTCTCCATCGATCTGGAGATTTCAACTCAAGAAAACAAGGCGGAAGGGGCTGGCAGTGGACTGGTAGTATCCAGTGAAACTATAGTCATAACAAGTTCAATGTTGCTGGCTCAATAGTTACAACAAGTGCTGGGAGCTATGTGTGTTGGATGCTGCTATTGTGTTAGGAACGCCATTGTTCCAAAATGGCTAACACACAGGCAGAAATCAAGGGTAGGACAAGATTTCACCTTGGCATAGGAAAATGCTTGAAAGACACTGTATGCTGGGAAAGCTTGGAGAAAAGTTTTCTACAAACACTATATGGCCAGAAAGTGAAATCTACATTTTCTCTTGGCAATCCTAGAATTTGGTAGATCATTTCAGAAACAGTAATGGAAAATCATATAATACAGAACCCATGAAAATGTTCTCTAGGAGAAGAAAGAGAGGGAAACACAACCACAACCTCAGGATTGTTGTTGTTGCTGTTGGTAAGTGCGGTTGAATCAGTTCCGATTCATAGCAACCCTGTGTAGGGTTTCCGAGGAGCAGCAGGTGGGTTTGAGCTACTGACCTTGTGGTTCGCAGTCCGGTGCTGATCCTACAGCACCACAACAGGAATCCGAATAGGATATTACTGTGAAGATGACTTACTATAGAAGTGAGGAAGAATTTTATATGGAGCCATAGAATGTTTGGAGTCCCTGATAATGCAAATAGTTAAGCCCTTGGCTGCTGACCGAAAGGCTCGAGGTTGAGTCCAGCCAGAGATACCTGGGAAGAAAGGCTAATCAATCTACTTTCAAAACTGTTAACCTTTGAAAACCCTATGGAGCCCAGTTCTAGTCTGACACATAAGGTTGCCATGAATTGGAATTCACTCGATGGCAACTGTTTTGTTTATTTGTTTTGGCATCTTTTAGAGTATCCAGGAAGACAGCATCTCTTCTGAAACATGTAAGAAAGCCTTCTTAAAAACATGCTGAGATGAAAGCACAGAAAAACTAGATTTAAAAAGACACCAGACTAAGGAGTCCAGAATAAGATAGTGGAGTAGGCAGATGCACTGAACTGATCCTCTGCAACAAAGACAAGAAAGATCCAGTGAAATAGATCCAGAGGGTGATCCTAGAACCCTGAGCATCAGAGGCTAGGA